TCTATATGTATGTGCTCCTTATCCTTATAAGTTACGTAATTTTTTATAGAAATAGAGCGATGACCAAGTCGACGATGTCATAGATTAACCAAAGAAGAAGCTGTAAAAAAGCCTACGTATTTAGCAATTTGAGTAGCATATGTCCCACCACTAGTCACTCTGTTGGTTAGCTGAGAATGAATGTGAACCAATTCTCCCTATTTGCGAACGAGTTCGACTTCTTGGAGTTAGAGTCCCTAAGTAACAAGAACAAGGTTTAGATGTAAGATTTTGATTACAAGGAATGAACGTTCCAAGAGAGCCGGGGGAAGGAACAAAAAAAAAAAAGAGTGGTTTTTCCGAATGTTAGTGGGGAAGGACGTTGCATGTGCTGTGATGGACAAGCTCTATTAACTTTCCCTTATCGCAGATGACCGGCCAGCTGATCTTAGCAAATCGAAATAGTTCGTCTCCCTATCGGTCTCAAAATTTCATTGCCTCCTTCCGTCCCTTCTCCGAGAACTTCTTTATTTTCGCTTTCATTTCTCTTTTTCTTCCTTAAATCATTAGGAAAGACTCACCATTGATTCTCCTTCACCTTCAAACACAGTAAACAAGGTCAAGAATCAAGGATTTCCCTTCTTTCACGGTAAACAAGGAAATAAATCATTATTCAAATCATAATCTTTCATCATCAATTTCTTCTTCTTTTTCAGAAGGTTTAAGGAAGGAAAGACTCAAGCGAAAACATGGACTATTCTTCTTGAACGAGGTAAAGCAGCTTCGCTCCTTGATTGAACTCGAGTGATATGTTAAGGAATCACTACAAGGGGAGTAAGATTTAGATTACCTTATTGATCAAATATCTCAAGACAATAACATTGTTTGAGATTCGAATCACTCCACAAGCAAGATCGATCATGCCTAGCTTGAATGATTCTTGTTGATCAAATATCTCAAGGCAAGAACACTTGATTGAGATTTGAATCACTCCACATGCAAGATTGATCATGTCGAGCTTGAATGATTCTACATGCAACCTAAACTACATAGAATTGCAAAGAAACTTAGCTGTTGGCTAAAGAAGAGCACAAATGTTTCTTTTACTATATTTTCCGAGTCTACTTACAAATACAACATACATGGTTTTATATAGCCTCAAAATAAAACTATTAAAGGCATTCCAAGAGTTGTAACCTTCATACTTAATGACCATAATTAACCATTATGTAATTGTAACCTAATGTAAATAAAAAGTCTTAAAATACATTAATGAAATACAATAACTCTAAATTGCAATCCACCCAAAATTTATAACATGAAACTTCATTCTTCTTCAATGTGGCAGAATTGAAATATCTTTTGATAATTTCAACAATATTTTCTTCACATCTTCATTGAAGTATATTGTATGATTGATGTCTCTTGGTTCATATTATTGGGTTTCACTATCTCTTTGATTGAATGAGGTTCTAAATAGGTAGGTGTTTGTTTGTTTCTTATGTCAGATTTAAGGAAAGATTAATGAGACTGAACTATTTTCTTTCCTCATCAATTTCTTCATCTTTTTCGGAAGGTTTAAGTCAAGTTTAAGGAAAGATTAATGAGACTGAACAGGAAGGAAAGACTCAACCGAAAACCTTCCCCTGAACCGATATTCCCTGACCTGAACCTATTTACCTTATTTAATTAACTTGACCTTACTTCTAAGGGTTACTCTCATCTTCTCTTCGGGCAAAGAAATGACATATATAATCAGAGCTGCTAATCTTGACAGTTTCCATTCGATATTGAGAAAGCGACAGGCCCAATGAACTCTCCAGTAGTGCCCTGAGGAGCCGGAGACTCGAGTAACCTTAGATCCTCTAAGATAGAATGAAATAGTATTTGATTGAGACTGCAGATATATAGAAAGTGTTCCACCCATTAAGGAAGGAAAGACTCAACCAAAAACCTTTTCCTTCTTTCACGGTAAAGTGGCTTATCTACTTCTTTTTCTCTGGTCTTTTTCTTCTATTCTTTATGTTTAAGGAAGGAAAGATTTTTGATGAGAAGATAATTATATGTAACAGTGTGAAGTTCTTTCATTAAAGAAGTCAAGACGAAATGAAATCTTTGCTTTAATGAGAGTTCACTCCATAACCTATTTATTCTTTCACGAGGTAAATAGGTGAAGTAGCTCTTTTCTTTCAATCGGTCGAGAATCTTTGCTTTTCTTTCCTCTTGCTTCTTGAACAAGGGTTTCATTATCCTTTCACAAGGTAAATTTCATGATTGTGAGTTTTTCTTTAACTGTAAACTCGGTAAACTTCTAAACCTTCTTTCACTCGGGTTTCACCATCTCTTTTCTTTTCAAACACTATAAACGATCTAATCTTTCTCTTTTTCACTCGTTCTTTTTTCTTTGGTTTCTGATTCCTATTTATTCACCTTTGTCTCACAATTTCATTGTCTTTTTATTCAAACACAAAGTGATATGAACCAAAAGACATCAATCATACAATATACTTAAATGAAGATGTGAAGAAAAGGTTGTCAAAATTATCAAAAGATGTTTCAATTCATGCCACATTGAAGAAGAATGAAGTTTGATTGTTATAAATTTTGGGTGGGTTACAATTTAAAGTAATTTAGAGTTATTGTATTTTAAGACATTTTATTTACTTTAGGTTACATTTACATAATGACTAATTATGGTCATTAAGTATGAATGTTACCACTCTTGGAATGCCTTTAATAATTACATTTTGAGGCTATATAAAGCCATGTATGTTGTATTTGTAAGGTAGACTTGGAAAATGTAATAAAAAAAACCATTTGTGCTTTCTTTAGCCAATGGCTAAGTTTCTTTGCAATTCTATGTAGTTTTGATTGCATGTAGAATCATTCAAGCTCGACATGATCAATCTTGCTTGTAGAGTGATTCGAATTTCAAACAAGTGTTCTTGCCTTGAGATATTTGATCAACAAGAATCATTCAAGCTAGACATGATCGATCTTGCTTGTGGAGTGATTCGAATCTCAAACAAGTGTTCTTGCCTTGAGATATTCAATCAACAAGGTAATCCGAATTTTACTCCCCTTGTAGTGATTCCTTATCATATCACAAGGTAAGGTGAAAGAAAATTCAAGGATGTTCGAGAAGAAAGATTAATGCGACTGAACTCCCAAATTGAACAAGGTAAAGCTCCTAAACCTATTTATTCTTTCACAGATCTTTCTCCTTCAAAAGAAAGTGTTTCAAATCAAGACTCAACTCAAGATTCATTCGACTGAACTACTCTCCCTATCCTTTATTCCTCAGCTGAGATTACCTAGTCGAGTCAACTCGACTTCACTTCTTTCGCTCTAAACTGCTTGGTTCTTTCTCGTGAACCTGAACCTCTATATTCCCTTCAGTTCTTGTTTGTTATTCTTTCACTTTGAACTCTGTCTTGAATCTGTTCTTTCTCCTGAAACTGAAAATAAAGACTCCTTATTCATTCTCCTTCCCCTGAACCTCTATTCTTTGAGCTACTTCACCTTTACAGTCGGTAAAAGAAAAAGACCAAGCCGAAACCTTAAACCTTTTCCTATCCTTTACAGTCAGTAAAAGAAAAGAGATTCATTCGACTTAACTCCTTTACCTTTTTTACCGTGAAAGAAAGAAGAGAGAGGAAAGACGAAAGATTAATTCGACTAAACCTGATTTCACTCTGTCTTCGTCTTCGCTCCTGAATTATTACTTCTGAACCTGATTTTGCTTGGTAAATAGTAGTTTTTCTCCTGAACTCAATCACCTATTCTCATCGTGTTCTTCCTTTTCCTATTTATTCTTGAACTATAAACGAAGAAAATGAAAGAGAATCTCCAGTAAAGACTCAAGATTAATTCTCCTTAACTCTGTAACCTTTACAGTCTCAGATATTCTCTCCTCTTCTTGTCTCGTAGCTTCTCTCCTCGCTTTTGTTCAATTATAAATAAATAACCATTTTGATGGAGATTTGTAGCATCATTCAAGTAAATACAGATTGAGACCGTAGAAACATGAGCTTGTGATATTGCTACACTTAATTCCAAACCGGTTAATACAAGAACTATAAATAAAGAACCAGGATCTCCTATGAAATAGAAAAAATAATTCATAAATAGCATAGTCCAAGCGGACCCACTTAAAATCTTTACTGAACTATGACCGACCATCATATTAGCAATAAATGTATTCCTGAGCTTAATGCACGAAAACAATGAGGGATTAGCTCAAGGAGTACTAAAAAAAGGTGCTAATGGCAGTGGGACTCCAGCGGGTAATGAGAAACTTAAAAAATGAAGCCCATTTCTTTGAAATCCCACTATAGTAATACCAATAGAAAGAGAAAGTGAGAGACCCAAAGTAATGAGAAAATGACTTGTAACTGTGAAGTTATAAGGTATCATACCCTGGGAATTACGAAATACTTTAGTGACCGAGATGCGAGGGATAAACTTTTGTTAACATTTTTGGAAAGACCACCTATTTGTTCGTTTACCAGGTTCGATACGAAATCATAAATAAGCTCTACCAAGGATTGTCAAGCATTTGGTACTGAGTTTCCTCCTCCATTTTTAGTAACAAAATGAACCAGAAGTAGGACCAAACTGAGAGTTAGCAGCATAAACAAAGATGGATTTGTGAATAAAAAATAAAAGTTTTCTATATTCATAGGAATCAATGGGAGAATGGCAAATTGCTCAAGTAGGCTGTTGGGCGTAATCGTAAGAAACACTTTTCATTTCATCCTTGTAGTTCCGCTTCTTGCTCAAACAATGAAGAAAGACTTGTTGGAAATCGCTGGTTGGGTTGGTCCAACCAAGAAAGGGATGAGAGTCTTTGGGCATTGCTGAGGAGAAAATTAGACTGAAATGGCCTATTGATTGAAGCTCTACGCTGTGGAATCGTCCGGGTTCCAGGTAGCGTTCGGGTTTAATCCATATTTATACAGAAAATACAAAAGATATTCCATATTTATACAGAGAATACAAAAGATATTCAGAAAATCTACCTAAAAATCTGCAGAAAATCTGGTAACAAACTAGTAAACAAATCAAAATAAAATCTAATCAAATCAAAACTAAATCAAATAAAAAACTAGATCTAACTCCTAACGGAGATTTAATTAGATACTAACTGACAGCAATCTAAACAAATACGTGATCTTTAACACTCCTTGTTTAGATGCTGTGAACTCCAAGCTTTTTTCTGAACACCCATCTTGCTCCAATTATTTTTCTGTTTAGAGGTCGATCAACCAACTCCCAGATTTTTTTTTCTCTACCACTGAAAGCTCCTCCTCGAACAGGTGCATCATCAACCAAAGCATCTTGTCGTTCATCTTTAGACTCTTCTAACATGCCAACAAAGATGCCAACTTCTGACTTTTTGTCAAGCTTATCACACTTGACCTGTGGAATGTAAATGAAGCAAAGACATCCAAATACTCTAACGAACTTTAAAGAAGGTTTGTAACCATACCAAACTTCAAATGGTGTCGGGTCCTTCACAACTTTTGTTGAAATTCGATTTTGCAAGCACATAATAGTGTTTGCTGCTTTTCCCCAAAAACGTTTTGGAAGATCCTTCTCATGAAGCATGCATCTCGTCATCTCCATTATGAATCTATTCCTCCTAACACTGACGCCATTCTGTTGAGGAGTGTATGGTGTTGTCAAATTATGTTCAATTCCAGCCTCTTCACAAAACCTATTAAAAGTTTCTGAAGTGTACTCTTTGCCATTATCCGATCTTACAGTCTGAATCAAGCATGCACCTTCATTCTCAACTTTGGCTTTGAATTTCCAAAATACACCCGCAACATCTAGTGATGGTGTTCGCTGAGGACCACAAAGATCAGTATGAACCAGTTGCAGCTTTTTCGAGGCTCTCCATGCCTGTTTAGGAAAGGGTTGCCTATGTTGCTTCCCAAAATTACAAGTACGGCAAGGAGACATGTCCTCATCAATGATAGTGAGTTCTTCTACCAACTTCTTTGATTGCATCTAAAGCAAACCTCGATGATGACAGTGTCTAAGTCTTTTGTGCCAAATCCCAGTGGCACTAACTCTGGGTATAAAGGCCGTCGGATTTAGAGCAAAGATTTTTCCTTCATAGCTTGTTATAGCTACTGAGCCTTTTCCCTTGACTTCCAAGTGTTCACCATTGCCAATCCTCACTCTCTTGACTTCAGTGTCTCTTAATTCCTCAAAAGACTTCTTGTCATATGTCATGTGATTTGTGCACCCACTGTCCAATCAACCAGCTCTCGCTTGATTCTTTGCTTGAGGAAGAAGTGACCATACACAATTGATCTTCTTCTTCTTCTTGATCAACTACCCGTACATCTACTTCTTTCCCCTGATCTTTGACTTTGCAGATCACAGCTTCATGTTCAAGTTGATTGCATTTGGAGCAGAAGGCGTCAGGTATTCTCCAACACTTTTATGGTGGATGACCTTTTTTCTCACAATGGCGGCAAGGTGGATAGGATTTTTTGAAACCTCCTCCTTTTGTCTTCTGATAATTGGCAGATGAATCTCCATACGTCAATTGATTTTTGAAATTTTTATTGTTTTTATACCTGCGGCTGTCTTGATGCTTAACAAGTAAGGCACCTTCAATCACCCCTTCTTGCCTCATAGACCTCTTTTGCTCTTGTGCTTGTAAAGCATTTAAGAGCTCTGTAAGAGAAATCTTTGACAAGTCTTTGGTGTTCTCCAAAGTAGTAATGGTGGCTTCAAATTTCTCTAGAACAGTGACTAGCAACTTTTCAACGATCCTGGAATCATTTAATACAGAACCAAGCAATCTCACCTTGTTGGCGATACTGAGAAGTCTGTCAGAGTACTCTTTCACTGATTCTGACTTCTTTATCTTCTGTAACTCGAAATCCCTAATCAAATTCAGGGCTTTCATTCCACGAATCCTCTCATCTTCTTCATATTCAGCCTTGAGATAATTCCAGATTTTCTTTGCTGTTTTGAGGGACATTATTCGCATGAAGATCATTTGAGATATAGCGACAAATAGGCAAGCTTTCGCCTTTGATTTCCTTGTCTTCTTTTCCTTCTGTAATTTGATTTGTGCTACAGTAGGATTTGCTGAAAGTGAAGGGACCTCGTAATCCTCTTCTATTGCTTCCCAAAGATCCAAGGCCTCCAAATAAGTCTCCATACGAGCTGCCCACATTTGATAATTGTCTCCATCGAAGACTGGTGGTGCAACAGCTGAAAAACTTGATTCTCCCATTTTGATCTGACAGATCCCTTAAGAAGATAGCTCTGATACCAATTGTTAGTGAAAGAGGGATTGATTGAATGATTAATGAGAAGATTGAATTATGAAGAGCAAGAATGCTTCATATTTATACAGAGAATACAAAAGATATTCAGAAAATCTACCTAAAAATCTGCAGAAAATCTGGTAACAAACCAGTAAACAAATCAAAATAAAATCTAATCAAATCAAAACTAAATCAAATAAAAAACTAGATCTAACTCCTAACAGAGATTTAATTAGATATTAACTGACAGCAATCTAAACAAATACGTGATCTTTAACACCTTTGAATTCAAGGAGGGAGGAAGGCTTTATAAAAGCGGCTTTTGCCATTCTCAATTGCCTTCATCGCCCTGGGGAGGTATCTTAGGTCGCCTCTCTTCTTCTCCAAGAGAACATCGATTGTCAGCCCCACATCTGACTCTTCATCCACTGGAATGGAACGACGATTCACGAGCTCGGCGGCCTTTTGCTTTAGCTCTTCGGCCCAAGCCTCAAAAAGGTTCATTTGTCGTTCTACCCCCCGGTACTCCTTGAAAGACATTAGCCGGCGAAAGTCCTCCCCTTCCTGTTCACTCAATTCTCTGAGGTTGAGCCCAACCGAGCCGACCTGATGATCTGCAGGAGGCTCCATGGGAAGCTGCTGTGCGACCTCTGGCGCGACGACTATCTTAGTTGCAAGATCGGCCCCGCCTTCTTACAATATACTTCAACGAAGATGTGAAGAAAAAGTTGTCAAAATTATTAAAAGATGTTTCAATTTATGCTACATTGAAGAAGAATGAAGGTTGATTGTTGTAAATTTTGGGTGGGTTACAATTTAGAGTAATTTAGAGTTATTGTATTTTAAGAATTTTGTAGGTTACATTTACATAATGGCTAATTATGGCCATAAAGTATGAATGTTACAACTCTTGAAATGTCTTTAATAGTTTCATTTTGAGGCTATATAAAGCCATGTATGTTGTATTTGTAAGTAGTCTTGGAAAATATAGTAAAAGAAGCATTTGTGCTCTTATTTAGCCAATGGCTAAGTTTCTATGCAATTTTATGTAGTAGGTTGCATGTAGAATCATTCAAGCTCGACATGATCAATCTTGCTTGTGGAGTGATTCAAATCTCAAACAAGTGTTCTTGTATTGAGGTATTTGATCAACAAGAATCATTCAAGCTATAATGATCGATCTTGCTTGTGGAGTGATTCGAATCTCAAACAATGCTCTTGCCTTGAGATATTCGATCAACAAGGTAATCCGAATCTTACTCCCCTTGTAGTGATTACCACATATCATTTGGTATCAGAGCTTCAGGCTCAAGATCGGATATATGTTTCCTTTGCGTTTCTTTTTAATTTGTTTTTTATCTTTTTTTAGTTTTGAATCGACCCAAAATAAAAAATCCAATCTGCGCTCTACTAAAAAATTTTAGAGGTGAGAATGAGAGCTTCATTTGTGTAAATGAGTGCAGACAGAGTGGCATAAAATTCCTTGAGTGTATACACGTGAGAGAGTGTTTTGAGGTCCTTTGTATTTCCATAACTTATTTTTTGCAGAAAAGTTTCACAAATAGATTCGAGGACAAATCCTCTTGAAGAAGTGGAGAATGATATGAACCAAAAGACATCAATCATACAATATACTTAAATGAAGATGTGAAGAAAAGGTTGTCAAAATTATCAAAATATGTTTCAATTCATGCCACATTGAAGAAGAATGAAGTTTGATTGTTATAAATTTTGGGTGGGTTACAATTTAAAGTAATTTAGAGTTATTGTATTTTAAGACATTTTATTTACTTTAGGTTACATTTACATAATGACTAATTATGGTCATTAAGTATGAATGTTATCACTCTTGGAATGTCTTTAATAGTTTCATTTTGAGGCTATATAAAGCCTTGTATGTTGTATTTGTAAGGTAGACTTGGAAAATATAGTAAAAGAAGCATTTGTGCTTTTCTTTAGTCAATGGCTAAGTTTGTTTGCAATTCTATGTAGTTTAGGTTGCATGTTTATTCAAGCTCGACATGATCAATCTTTCTTGTGGAGTGATTCGAATCTCAAACAAGTGTTCTTGCCTTGAGATATTTGATCAACAAGAATCATTCAAGCTAGACATGATCGATCTTGCTTGTGGAGTGATTCGAATCTCAAACAAGTGTTCTTGCCTTGAGATATTCGATCAACAAGGTAATCCGAATCTTACTCCTCTTGTAGTGATTTTCCTTATCTTATTAGGGCGGGTGCATGGAGGGCGAAGGCGAAACAAAAATCGAATGGACTGATTTGCCTTCCTTCATGTCGTAGCCTTAGCTTTTCTTTGACTCATGCCTTGGAGAAGAATGTTTTTTGTTTGAGTTTGAAGTCATTACCTTGCGGGAGCCACCTGGGCAAGACCCTTCTCTCCTTTTTTCTTATTTCCATATGGTGAATCACTTGTGAAGTCGACTAAACACCGTGTCTTCTTCAACTTCACCTGTCACACGTGTCGTGTAGTACAGCAATTCTAACAAGTGGTCAATTGAATTTATGAACGAGCAACTATTTCTTAGTTGCAATACCTTTCTCTTTTTTTATTCTTCCTCCACTCACCTCCACGGGCGAATAGAGTCTAATACACTCTTTCTTGGTATAGCAGACTCCATGAGATGTCATTCGGAAGGACTCCATATAATTTGATTTTGGGGCGTAACATTGTGGTTGTTCCCTCAACTAACCGAGAAAAACAAGTGAAAGGGGCATCTTCCATTCATATCGATTTAGGTTTTTCTACACCATATTTAGATCTACCTCTTCTTCGATCTGGAATTCCCAGTAAATGTTTGACTCCTCGAATACAATGGGATTTCGCACCTGGCAAATCTTTCACTCTACCTCCTCTTATTAACACCATAGAATGTTCCTACAAATTATGACCTTCGCTCGGAATGTAAGCAAATATATCATGTCGATTGCTCAACTGTACTTTGGCTATACATGGAGTTGAATCAGGTTTTTTTGGTGTTCTCATTGAAAGATATGGGCGTACTCCTTGCTTCTTGGGACATTGATCCGAAGCTCGAGTACGGTTCGTGCACTATTTTTCTTCTCTACCATGACGAATCAATTGATTTAATGTACGCATCGCTCTTTCCTTTGTCCTTCCCCCCTCTTTTTGCCCTCTCACTAGTGATTACTCTCGATCCAAAGCACCCGTTTTCCATTCATAGAGAAATCCAATCGTCACAATAAATAAAAAGGCCATCATGGACCAAGATCCAAACAGATCAATCTTGTCGAGAGGTACTGCCCAAGGAAAGGAAAAGATGATTTCCAGATCAAGGATAATAAATAAAATGGAAACAAGATAAAATTGTATATCGAAACGACTTCTCGCATCACCGAAAGGACCGAAACCACATTCATAGGCCGAAAATTTTTCTAGATAGGTTGAACTATTGGAAGCAAATGGAAAAGGAAGATCAAGTGGGATCAAAGAAACTAGTAGACTGATCACTCAATAGATACAAATAGGTGTAAATTCTGACATCACCACAGCCCACTTGTTGGTTCTTTGGCCTCTTGATCGTGAAGCAGCATACTTTAAAAGAAAAGAAGAAAAAGCCCATTCCGAAACTTTCACTATCAGGTTCAAGATAATGAAAGAAATTCTAATGAGAAATTTAGGAACCCGGATGAAGATCAGAAAAAAGCAGCACTCAAACGAGGCGGGGGATCCATGTAAAGCAGACCTACAATCGGATAAGGAGACATTCAATCAACCTGAGAGAGGAAAACTAGAGATTCCCGCATAATCAGGTAGCCAAAATCGTGACAATTCAATCTCGAAACACACAACCACAACAATCGAATTCCTATCTACAACCTCTTTTCCTTCAAATTAAGGATTCCTTTAGCTTCATAGGAAGAATTCGAGTAACTTTGCTGAAGGAATCGAGAGCTGAAATGTCGTAAAATAAGATACCCAAGAGATCGATAATTGGAGGTGTCGGGTAACTTGCAGACTGAGAGTGGTTTCTCAAAATTAAGATCTCACACTCAAAGTCGTTCCTCCAAACCAATTCCTTTATCTTTAAGGAAGAATAAGGAAGAGGTTTCGTGAAGAAATCAAGCTTCAAAAGCCCCTAGAATAGGCTACCCAATAAGAAATTCTCTGTTTTTACTCTGGCGAGAAATCATATTTTGGACAAATTTTGGAAGCGAATATCTTAGGCTACAATCCATGAAAAGGTATGAAGTCAATCCCTAGCTCTTCCTTGTAACACCATCTTTAAGTTTTATGAAGGAATCGAGGGGAGAAACGGTGTGATCGGAGCTGGGGAGGGCAAGTTTCAGACGGCGACGCTATAGTCGACCGCGTCTTCTTCCCGTATGGAGGAAGAAGACGGTGACGTGGCCGGTTTAGTTGAACCGGCCATGTCAACCCAAAACTCGACCTTTCCTCAGGTTTTCTCAATTTTAACCCCCTTCTAGACCGGTTTTCATAAAAAACTTTATGGTTCCAGAAATTAGACACAATAAGGAGTTTGTGAAAGGAAAGTTGAGGTAATTCAGGTATCAGAAGCTCAAGAACAGAGGTCCTGAACATCGACAACGAGGTAAGTAGCAACCTTGGATATTTGTTAAGAAATACATGTAGGAATCGCTTGAATTTCCATATGAACTCTAAACCAAGTATGAAATTAGGATAAATGAAAGAAAAACCCTAGGAACCGTAAGTTAAGAACTTGAACCGAATAAATTGCTCGGGATTTAGGTAACGATAAAATAACCCACTAGATGAACTCTGCTACCTATGAAATTTTAATGCTGAGCATATTATAGTATGTTGAGGTTATATACGAATTTTGGTGGTCATTGGATAAGGATAAGTAGGTAAACCAAGAAACGGTGCAAAATGACCATAATGCCCCTAAGGATATCTACCTATGGTTCATGACCTAGATGACCTCCAAATGCTATGAAACCCTGA